AAAAAAAAAAAAAAAAAAAAAAACACCTATAAGAAGCCATGGTTTGTCAGAGTGACTTGCTGCCCCAAAACAAGTCCCCCTGATTGGCATGATGCAAGAACCCAATGAACCCAGTTACCATTGCATGTTGCCATCTTGCACAAACCAAGTCAATCTGATGTTTTTGATAGTATTCATTATACTTTCTGAATACAGATGAACCTATGTTCAGGATGCATTTAGCATGCAGAATGGTAGTTACATCAAATGATTACATAATGCAACATTATATTCTAACACAGCATAGCATTTAAACTAAAATGGTATATTTCTTAACCATTGTAGTATTTTAATATACAGTTCATTTAAACTTAACAGCACATTATCACCTCTGAAGATTTAAATTATAGGATAAATGAAGCTGTTCCTGCTTCAGTGTCCAGAACCAGAACAACATAAAAAGGCTGCAACTATATAAGGTTAGGCATGTCAATATCCACTCAAATTAACTGGAAGTAAATAAGTGAAAAGTTTATTTATTTACAAGAGTGATAAACTTCACTTCAGATGCTTTGGATTGCAACTCCAAGGATTCTTGGTCCTTGGCCATACTGTCTGGGGCTGATGGTAGTTGAAAAACAAAATATCTGGAGGGCACAAGGTTGGGGAAGCTTGCTTTAACCATGACACACACTAAACACATGCCCCCACTTGGATTCTTGGTTCACAGACACTAGCCCTGTCCAATCTTACACATATGCTGCAGTTTCAAAGTTATTTCAGAGGTTTTACTTCTAACCCTTTGGCTCATTCTTTCTTCAACACTGTCTTTCCATCAACAGCAGTTTCCTTCCTGCATTTCAACTTCCCATCTAGTCTTTACCACCTTCTTCAGCGCTAAGTCCAGATTAGTCCTCCTATTGTTACAAAAAGTTCAGCCATTCTGTAATGATGCCTGCTTGTTAGAACTTACAAGAAGACCAAACAGACCATTTCTGTGACCCAGCCAGCGACTATGGCCAGTTCAAACTACTTGCTAATCTGTAATCCATAAAGACCATGCCCAAACCTTTGCTTTCTGTCAGCTCCACGTCTGGGCATGAGCCAGCTGCTGACCTCTTTTGCACGCAAAATAAATGGTTTAAGTCTCTACAGTGTGTTGCTTTTCCTGATAAATGAGACCAAGGCCATTTTTGCAACACTGTCATTCAAACTTCATTACCCTACAGTCTTTGCCTCTGCATGCAGGTTCTCCTGATATTAAACAAAGGACAGAAAGAGTATCACTTTTGAAAGTGTTTAATCTTAAATACATTCATATTACTGTTTCCATATTACTTTGCAATTCTTACTTTTAAAATCTTCTTTAAAAATTCACATATCAGTATTTTAAAATATATTTTATCTTAAATGGATTTCTAAGCTTATTTTCTCCCAATACTATGCTCATACGTTGGTAAGTTTTTTGATCCAAGAACTATGTTGCAATATTTGGACATATACAAATCCCCATCAGTATCCAAATTCCAATCTGCAGTAGTGTGAGAAGTACAGATCAAACTGGTTTGTTTTGGGATTCACAAAGTCTGAATCCCTTAAGCATCCCTGCTTTGGGCACTGTGAATTCTGACAGCTTTCCCTTCTGTTATGCTGCTACAAACACTCTGTCAGCTTTGTTCCCTAAGCAGCTGGTATGTTCATGAGTATTTTGTGCCAAAAATGAGCACAGGTAGTAATTTTTAGATGCTTCATCATTGTAAGTAATGCAGTATAAAAGTCTGCATAAAATCAAGCAATGCATTAAAAACATGAATGATTGCAAGCCCAATTTATAAAACAATAACTTAAAACTGTTGAGAGAAAAGGGGGGAGGTGGTGGCTTCCCACACAGTTTGGTTCTACATTACAAGGATGAATAGGCATTTGTAGATAGAAGCATCACTTGGGAGCATCAGTGACATTAGTCACAGCTACTATAATCCTCATCTTAGAAAAAATACAATATGCTGTAAAAATTACAATCATCTACCTAGCACAGATGCCAGGAGCAGTAATTATTTATAGCTCTAGAAGGTACCAGTACTACTGTAAAACATTTCAAAGGGCATTAGTAGGCAGATTACAGTATGATAAGAGGTGGTTTTGAGAAAGGGGTTAAAAGTGTGATGGAAAGCAGGTTTGATGAGTATATGGGAGAGAGTTCTAGGTAAAAGGAATTGGGTAGTAGAGAAAAAAAGAGAAGGTACCAATCTCAGCTGAAAAGGAGAATATATTTACAGTAAATAAATAAGGACAGGCACAAATGGAATAAGCTTCTTAGGAAGAGAACCATTCTGATACGTACTCTATAGCAGCAGCAAATTAGGCAATTTTAGAATAGATTATGTAGATTATTTTATGTCATTGCCTCAGTTCAAGCAACTAGATGCCCCCATACAAGAGAAAATCTCATCTTTGCTGGATATTCTCTAAAAAAGATTCCGTTCAGCTAACAACACAGACAGGATGCAAGAAAGGAAACCAAACTGTGAGTGTACTATTAGGTATTTTAATCCCAGCACCACTTCACTTGGCTGCCTGACAAGTCAGAAATGGTTCTGGAGACCTTTTCTTGTATTCATTTCTCTAGTGCCACCACAGTTATCTTTAGCAGCCAGGCTATTTCCTAATAAAAGCCATCTAGGTTATCATTTTAAGCAAATGCCTATATGCTATGGAGTATGGGGGGAGGGTTGGGTACCAAAAAAGAAAAGAAAAGAAATTATCCTCTGGAGGCCCGGCTGCTTGTAGCACAGTGAGTTTTTTCTGGAGACTCTTTCGATGCATTTGCCTATTTCCTGATGGCTGATTGACACAAACATGTGGTGGTGAAATTTTGTTCAGCAGTTTTTGACCAAAAACAACATGACCCTTGTGCCCCTCCCTCCCTTTTCACCTGATTGCACTCTGTGTGACTTTTGTTTCCCCAGATGAAAAAAGTCCTCAAAGGGAAATGTTTTGCTGATGTGGAAGAGGTGAAACAAAAAACAGCAGAAGCATTAAAAGCCATCATGACAAGATCGAAACCTGTTTAAGCAGTGGAAGAAAATGACAGGATAGGTGTACTTTGAAGGTGGCTGAAGTTTGAACATGTAAAAATAAATACACAATTATAAATTAAGCAGCATTTTAAATGTTAATATTATTGAATTTTATTTGGCCAGGGCGGCTTATTTTATTCTATTGTATATATTTTAATTGTTATTGTTTTAATTTATTGTGTATTTTATTAGATGTTGTAAGCTGCCCCGAGGCTTTGGCAAGGGGCGGCATAGAAATGTTTTAATAAATAAATAAATAAATAAATAAATTAAATACATTCCTGTTTTTTTGGGTTCCCCACCTCATATATTGGATAGAATACCCAGTCAGATCAAGTTTTCAAATTGTTTTCTCCAGGAACTGCTTGCTTTGGTTGAGCATCTTACCTGCTACCTATCATGTATGTTTTCTCTCATCATGATAGACAGACAGATGAGAGACAGATAAGTAAAATAAAACTGTTATGAAGAGGCCTAGTGCTAAGTCTCAAGAATCCTTGGGATATGGTTGTAAGATCTCCTCAAAGTCCAGCATTTGCTGACAAAGGGATTGAGACACAGACTTGAGTTGCATCTCTCAAGTTCTTAAAATGAAGTAGTTCATTGGAAGGTATGGAGGTAGAAGAACAAAGAGTAAGCTTCCTCTACTCTGCCTCACCCAGGAGTGACTCCAAAAACACTAGTTTGGAGATCCACAGAACTGGTATGGGTCATTATTAGGTGAGCAAGAATGCTTCTGAGCACATTGTTGTTGTCGTGTTCGACCCATCACGACTCCATGGGCAACATTCCTCTGAGCACATTACATATATATATAAACCATGAGTAAAAGTTGGGGGAGCAAATGAGGTCATAGGAAATATTTGGGAAGAGCATCTACAAAGCCCTATGTGTTATTACATCTGGATGCAGATCTCTTCCAAGGAGACCAGGATTGCATACACGAGCATTATCCTATTTTATTCTTAAACTATCAGGTACAGCTTTAAGAGAATTATTAGCCTAAAGCAGCCAGCAAATTCAGGGCTCTGTGGGGATACAGATGCCTTTCTCCAGTCCAAGTCCAGCACACTATTCTTTAGTTATTTCTATAGTCAAAGCTTTCTATCCAGATGCCAAACAGGTTCTCAGCAGGTGTAACTCCCACTTTTCAGACAGAAGTGCATGAGTAAATACTGGAGAGTGGAGACTAACAAAATTTTGAAATATTCTCAGCAGAGCTACCTGAAGAAATACAATTTTGTAAATACTTTAGAGATTTCACCTAAAAAGATTTGTATAGTCTTCAGTGCTGCTTCTCTTGAGAATACTCCCAGATATTGCTGCCTCTGAAAGCAGTCAACTGTACCATAGAGACTTGAATGGAAACCCAGCAGATTCTAAGATGTATATATCTATTACTCTCTACAGGCCAGGCCCTTCTTTCCCTCTGAATCTCCTGCACTCAGAAGCTGCCAAGTGCAGTAGCTGGGCCTAATGTTCTGAATGTACTCTTTAGCATGGCTGCTTTAATCCAGTGCCAGCACAAATTCTCACATCTATTAAAGCAATCAAAAAAGAAGGGACTCCTTTAAATGTTACTAGCCAGTCTAGTATAACATTTCAAGGAACAGAATTCCTGTGCAGAGACCAAGGAGTGAATGCAAAAATATATACTTTCCCTTCTGGAAATTTAACAGCTAGAAGAGATTTCTCTATCACCAGTATCATTTGACCGTCACAGAGTCTTTAGAAAGCAGAACAGAGAAACTGTAGTAGTTATTAAATACAACAGAAATATTACTTTGCTAACTCAGGCTGATTTAACTTACTACATATTATTTAATTCAA